AAGATAACAACACACGTTGCAAGAAGAAAAGACAACAAGACACGTTGTAAAGGCATCAAGGCACCAGAAGATTTTGGAGCTTTCTTTCTTCCAATTCGAGTGGGCTTGTATGCTCAAGAGAAATCTTGTTGGCCTCTGCGATAGAAATCTGAAGGAAATCTCCCCCTCAATGGGAATCCGTTTTCCATCTGGCCCCACCTCCTATTTCTAATCTGGCCCCTCCTCCTCGCCCTGCTCCTTCATCCTCCTCAACCCCCTCCACTTTGTTCCTCTCCCCCCCCCCCCCCCCCCCCCCCCCTCTCTCTCCCTTCCCCTGCTCCGCCTTGTCGTTCTCACCATCGGCCACGGGGATGCTGGAGCGGCTGCTGCCATCATAGGTCTCCTTCAAGACCGCAGAAGATGGCGGAGCCACAAATACCGCAAACTCAGCCGCAAACTCCTCTGAAACTCCTGCAGAAACTCCTGTCCACAGTACTGATTTTTAACTCAACTTTGAGTAAAAGACTCTGAGAAACTTGGTCGCCGGATCAGTCACGGCGAAACTCAGTGACTCGGACCCGTGACCCGGCCCGGCCTGGGCAGCCCGGCCTATCTGTCAGGCTTCGGACTGAGTTGGGCCGGGCAGCCGAGTCCGATCCAAGTGTCCCCCGGGAGCCGGCGGCCGCTCCGGCCGCGGGTGCCGGCCGGGTGCCAGGCCCGGCCCGGACTCGGGAGCCCGGACCGTCCGATCGGTACGGAGCCAGACTCGCCGCCGGGCCCGGGCCCGCCGGGCGTCTGCCCGCCCGGCCGTAACGTTCTTGGATGTCAGCAACAATGATGTAACCGTCAGCAACTAGCTGTACACCCCTACTCACAACACCCCCACCCCCAATGAAGGCCTTGTAGCTGTTTCCACCCACCCTTGCATTAGGCAACCCTCCTTATGGAATCAATCACCCATTCTTCTCAATGGTAAAGTACCGGTGTTATCAATGTACTCCACGACAAATTGCATACCCTACCCCCTCTAATCAAACATACGTGTCTGCACCCCTACTTGACCACTACCCTGAGGGAACATGGATCCGTCCCTTCCGTCTCACTACTAACACCTCATTCTATTACCCTACCCCCTCTGAATTTTGACTACCCTACATCAATCCCAGACATACACCCGGTGCTTCAGATCCTGAATGGACCCCCACCCGATGTCACAGATTCGATGTACCCCCTCCTTGCAATTTCACTAAAGGGTGTACCTTGTGCTTGTACCCTACCCCGCAATTCAGCTGTGATAGTAGTTAAATATACCCCTACTCAATCCCTTACCAGCCCTAGCCCAGAACATGGGCTGATCACCCTACCCCCTCTTCTCCCCGCACTAGTCGTATATTCCTCACTACCCCTCAGGATCCAGAGATTGCTGTCCCTAGGAAAAAATTATTGCGTTGGTACCCTACCCCTATATGGTCTGTTTGACTCCCGTAGAAGTACCCGTGTAGAAAGGACCTACCCCCTCAAATGATCCAGATCAAGAACCCTACCACCTGATTTCCCTCTGCTTTGAGGACCCGCACTTTGTTAGGACTACCACCCCTCCTTTTCTGATTCTTCCCCGTGATACTGCAGTACCCTGCTGTCCCTGCTCTACACCCCAATATTTTCAATTGAGTACCCACCCTTTCTGCTGCAAGCCACTCAACAATGACCACCCTACCTGTCTCAACTCTCCCACAACCCGCCAAATGCTATGAGTACCCGTTCTTTTTCCGATGAAAATACCCCACCCCCTCCTCTCTGCCTGTGGCCACGAGCGGCAATGCGCATCGTCGTCGCCGTAGCCGGTACTCCCCCACCATGGCAGCTCCTGCTGGTCCTATCGAGCATGCTTCCGCCTTTCTTGCTTCAGCTGACCTTACCCCACTCCTCTCTTGCTTCGCCCTTGCCTTTCTACCGCGCGTTTTTTCTATTCCCCGAGTCTCCTCTGCTCTATGTACTGTGGTCTATCTCCGCGTGGAGTCTGACCTCCTGAAGATGGAGGAGCATGAACCGAACTACATCCCCCATGTACACATACAATGTATTGATGCGTGCCAAACGTGATCACGCCAGAACTGTGCTGTATGCACTCATTTCAGCGCGTTGAAGTCATCTTGTGGATCGATTTTCCATTTTTCAGGGATTTGCGCTGACGACCGGTTTTATCTCTTCTCGTATCTTCATCTGTACCGACCTCATATTTTAACAAAAGCTTAACTTTCACAATATGATTTACACGCTCCTTGTTCGTTGATATGTAAATCCTTTTTCTACTGCTCAACAGTCCTTTTCTTGCCCATGGACCGTAAGGTGTTGTGCACCCAGTAGGCGATGCCTGTCTATGTTTATGATATATCATATCACATCCTCACACCAAATATGTCGTGCACTCACATGCAAGTGGATGATAGAGTTGGTCCTGATCTGGTTTGCAGGCGTCGGTGGCGTATGGCTATTGTGGAAGCGGTTGAAACAGTACCTCGAATATCGCGGGAGAAAATTGCCTCCAGTGTACAGGGAAGGACTTCATGTTCCCCTGCTGGGAGCAGCCCTTCAGTTCCTCTCGGATCCTCTGAAAATGGCACGTCGAGCGCAGGACGTGCATGGGGATATCTTCACTGTGTATGTGCTCGGAAAGAGGTTGACGTTCATGTGCGGCCCTGATGCTCAGGAGAACTTCTGCCGAGCGAGGGATGACGAGTTGTCTCAGCAGCAGGCATACAAGTTCAGTGTCCCCCTGTTCGGCCCCGGTGTGGTGTATGATGCGGATCTGGAGAAGAGGACGGAGCAGATCAAGTTTGTAACCAACTCGTTGCACACTACGGCGATCGGCCAGTATGTGCCGATGATGGTGGATGAGGCTGAGAAATACTTTGCTTCGTGGGGAGATGAGGGAGTCGTTGATATTTACACCGCCCTTGCCGAGCTCATCATCTTAACGGCTTCCAGATGCCTGATGGGTCCAGAGATCCGTAGCGAGCTGCACAAGGAGGTCTCAGAGCTGTACGCGATTCTTGATAAGGGCTGCACCCCAATTTCATTCTTTGCCCCATATTTTCCCATACCGGCGCATTTCAGGAGAGACAAGGCCCGTAGACAGATGGTGGCACTCTTCCAGAAAGTTATTGAGAAACGTAGGAAAGAGAACAAACGATACAATGATGTGCTTCAGGTGAATATTTGCCTACCAGCGCAACTGCACCAACGTGATGCTTTTCAGGTCTACATGGATGCTACATACAAGAATGGTGACAAACTGCCGGCACACGAGGTGTGATTTGTTCTTGCCTTGTCCGCAGAATGTGCTGATGCAGGATTTGGTTGTAGGTCACCGGATTGCTTATCGCTCTGCTATTTGCGGGACAGGTAGTTGCCTCAGCCGCAGCCATTTTGATTCACGCGTTCCTGCTCCGTTATGCCCTCATGGTGCCTTGACTGAAATTCTCTTGGCAGCACACTTCGTCTGTAACTTCGTCCTGGACTGGTTTGTACATGTTGGACAATAAGAAGGACATCATCCCGAAGGTGTTGATCTCTCTTTGCATTCAACCGGGACTTATCTTGATGTTCAGCTTGTCGAAGAGCAAAAGAAGGTTGGAAAAGTGATTGATCATGAGGTAGAGTCGCACCCGTTGGTCTCAACACACTCTGAAAGTCCACAAGGCGATCAAGAACATGTCTCTTTTGCACGCAACAGTGTCGGAGGCGTTGAGAATGCAGCCACCACTCATCTTTGTCATGCGAGAGGTGCTGCCCACTTTGAGCGCTGCGGTCCAGTCTAATCGTTGAGTGAAGGTCCTTCAAGATAGGCAGTTCAAGGATTACACCATCCCCAAGGTATTGCACCAAACGCATCTTGTCTTGTCCTGGTATCCTGACACATGTGGGTAGGGAGATGTAATATTCCTCTCTCCTTCGCTCTCTGGTCGACGACCAGACGTCTGGACCAACCCTGACTCGTTCGATCCCTTCCGGTAGAGATGCTGCACTGCTGTTTCTCCCTCCACTAACTTGATTCTCAGCTTCTTGGAGCCAAGGGAGGAGCATCGCAAATTCTCTCATGGTTGGCTTGGGTTTGGTGGCGGGTATGTCAGCCCGGGCTCATGGCACGATGTTGGTCGTTGAGTGGATCGTTGCAGGCGCCACCGCTGCTTAGGCGAGCACTTCGCCTATGTCCAGATCAAGACGTGAGACAATGTTTGTTGCTCCGGTCACATCTGAGCCACTGCAGGATTTGGGCTTACCTCCTCCGTAACTTTGAAATGGAAGCTGTATGTGCTCCAATCCTGCTTCCACATTCCTTCATCTCCTCCTCTGCTCCATGCTTCATCTTCGTCCATGCGGATCTGTTTTGTGACTCTTTGTCGATAGGTTGGACCCTTGCCTTCACCCAACTACGAGGTAAGACGCATCTGTGTTGGGGCGACTAGCTGTGTAACCCCTGCTCCGATGGAGCTGATTTTCACTTATCTGTGTGTTTGGGCGAATGCATTCAATCATGAGATTTTTTTTGATACATGACGCCATATGTGCAAGGACTTGTGTTTGTCTGCCAGTATTGCGCTCTTGTCATTTATATTCGGCTTCATTCTTCCCTTGTTGACCTGAAACTTTTCTGTGCCGGATGCAGTTTTCTGTGTTTCTGTGTTTCTGTGCCTTCCTATCTGATCACAAGTTCGAGTCGTGATAACATTCTCTAACCTAGTTGACAGGCTCTTGTTGTTGGTCCCAAGCATCCCTGCCTCATCCGCTATGTCCGTCGCAAGCTGCCCATCGACTGATCGATCGGATGTACCCCGGGGCTCGACTCGCTCCGCCCCCTCTGTCATGTGATTTACGTCAGTGAATGATTAAATGTTCAGATTCTCCGCAATCTGCCGCTCGCAGAGACTCAGGCAGTTCCGACCGAGCTGAAGACTCTCGTTGGATCGGTTGCCAGCGGGCCCACCGTGCACCGTGGCACTGCCGCGGCCCCGGCGGCCCGGGAGTCAGCGGCGGCGCGGCCGGGCGCTCCGAGCTGCGGCCAGGCTGCTGCTGGCCCCCCGGCTTCAGTATCCGAGTGTCCGGTCGGCCCGCCGGCGGGGCCGGTCCGGGTCAAACTCAACTTTCAGAGCCTCGGAGGCCGGCTCAGTACGGTCCTCCCAGTAGTCAACTACCGGCCCCGGCCCGGGCCGGGCCGGGCGGCCGCACGTCGGGCTGGACTCGGAACTCGGAAGTCACATGGCCGGACAATTTCCATGTCACGTGACACGACCCCTCGGCTTTCGGCTCCAAGAGACGCGCGACTCTTGACGTGATGAGTTCCCCTACCCCACCCCTACCCTCTCCCATTCACTACCCACCAGTCATGAAAATTATACTTCGGATGAGGTACCCTAGCACCACCCCTCGAATGGAACCACCCTGATTTATTCGTATCCATCTACCCCCTATACCCTACCCCTCTAGAAGTCAGCTCAAAATGGACGTGACGAGCAGGGTAGGTTCGAGGTGGGGTAGTGTGAGTATGTAATGCTGTAGAGACCCTGGTACTGCTACAGCTCCACATAGAGAGCAGCGTTTACACGAGGGGGTTCTTTGAAGGAATAGAGGGGGTAGGGGTGATCATTTCTTGGGGAAGTGGGTGGGTGGTGTCCTTATGTGGCGATGGTTTGATCGTAAAGGAGGGGTGGATATGATTTTCAACGTATTAGGAGGGGTTAAACAAGGGAGTTCTTGGTTTATTTCATGGGTAGGGTAATTCAATCGGGGGTAGGGGTTCTTTTCCAATCTAGTGGGTTGGGACTCGGGTATCATGTCCCCACTACCCCACCCAACATTCACATCGATACCACATGTGACAGTACCCGTACCCTGAATGCTACCCCTTCATGGTAGACTACCCCTCTTTCCCACACAACCAAGTGCTCCAACCCACCACCTCCACCACTTAGTCCGTTACCCACCCCCTGAAAGGACTTATCGAGAACCCTACCCGTTAGGACAGGAATTATTATTACCACTGGGCACAATTTGTGCCAAGAAACTGAGTACCACCCCCTACCCTCTGCCAATATTCCTGGACCCCTACCCCCAATCCGCTCTATCGGGTACATTCGGCTATTTGGGTTTTTAATTGTGCCATTATGGATTTGGTACTGATTCAGTACATCGTGAAAGTAACATGAATATATATATTATTGAAATTATACTGAGAAATTACTGGACAGAAAATAACTTGCTACAAGTAAGCCGGACATGTAAACAAGAGGTACAAATAATAAATGTCATTTTACTAAAAGCTACTGGAAATTCCAGTAGAGTAGCACAATCGATTGTACCCTAATCAGACAATAAAGTTTTGGAGTATTTTAAAATCTATTGAATTTGGTAGAGAACTTCAGTACACTTCCATATCAAACCCTCCATTCCCCTACTGCAAAACAAACTCTCTCACACAAATAAAAACTGTATTTAAAATCAATTCAAAATTCTTTTAGAGGGACTTTGTATTCCCTTAGGGATCCTAGGTCCAATCCCCTAGGGCGTTGTAGGATCCCTAGACCCCACCGCCTCCCCCAGTCCTACTCCATGCACCCCGCAGTTGTTAGCGCACCAGCGTAGTCGCTTCTCCTGCTCCTGTCGGCCGATCCTCCTCCTCCTCCTCCTCCTCGTCCTCTAACTGGTTCTTATCCCTTCTCCTCTTTGTGTGCCTTCACTTCCAGGGCTCCTGTTCGTGGTCGACAAGGCATTTGCAGTCAAAACTGTGCGCTGAAACGTGTGCTTGCTCGGTAGTTCGATTCCACCTTGAAACTATTCTGAACGGGGCATTCTGAAGCCTCAAAGGTTTCTTGAAGAGGGAAGAACTGGAGCAGACCGAACTTGTGTAGCTTTCCTTCAGCTTTAGAATCACCACGTCGATCGGCAGGGGGGCTCCGTGAACATGATGATTTGTTGAAGCTGAGACTGCGAGCCTGGGCTGTTGGAGCAAGGGCAAGGAACGTATCCACTAGTTGGAGAAATTGTATGATTGCGCATCGACACGCCTACTAGAAACACACTTGCACAGAGATCTGCAAACGCCCGAGACTCCCTTACTCCCGTGTGCATACAGTGTCTAGTGCCGTCTAGGAAATGACCGGCAAGGCGTCTGGTCCAACGCTTGTCCACTCCACTGCCAACATGTCTCCAAGCACATCGAGCAGCCCGGGCCCGATCCTCAACAAGGAGGTGAAGTTGGACGAGCTCTCGAAGTACTTTCATCTGCCGGAGAAGGCAGTGGCCAAGGAACTAGGGATCTGCCTGACATCGCTCAAGAAGCTGTGTAGAAGTTACGGCATCACCAGATGGCCTTTCCGGAAGCTAAAAAGTCTGGAGAGGACGATGCGAAAAGTGCAAACAGAAGAATCGTGGAATGTAGGCGGACAGTCCACGGGTGACGGCGATAGCAAGACACCAGTACCAGAGCTGAAAGTGAGTCCGCTGGGTTGTGTATGATGTGTTTGTCCTAACTTGCTGGTTCTTCAGCGAAAACCTTACACTGTTGGAAACAAGACAGTGTTTCTTAGTGATGAGGAGCTGGAAGTGTTCAAGATGACCATGGGAAAGGATCAGGCTAGCGAGCTGAAGCCGACTCCAATCTCAACGTTGGAGCCCTCTCTGTACTTCCCATTCGCTTGAGAAAGCTTCTTCCTTAAATTTTACACAAACAGGATCAACAACGCGACCATGGCTGCTGCAAGCTCGGCACTGGCTAGCGTGATCAGAGTCTCCAATGAGAACTCGAGCCACTACGACACCAGCTACTCCAATGGTGGCGACTTACAGCCCTCCCCGCTGCTTCTGACCTCTTTGGAAGGCAACGCAGATGCGGACGAAGAGAACTGCACGGTTTCTGCTGAGGTGTGAGCTGTGCTCGCAGGATATCGTATCTGACAGCTTGTCGTTCCTCCCAGGTGAAGGGCAACACCCTCGTGATCGTCCACTGGTCTACCCTGTGGTCGCAACCGCAGCTCAAGGGGAAGCTGCTGTATCCTCTCAAGGGGGTGAGGCTGTGGCTGAATGCCGTCCCCTCTTCCTCTGACATGCGCTGCAGGTTTCTCTCCGAGTGTCTACCGACGGCGTGACCGCAGAGTTGGAGTTCCCGTCGTCTGAAACTGCCCAGAGGGCCTTGAGAATATGCAAGATGGCTCAGAGTCAGGCGGCGCAAGCCAATGGTGAGGGCTAGAGGCTGGATTCAGCCAGCTGGTTGCTCACTGTCTTTCCCAGCTCCTAAGACGATCCCACCGGCCAGTTCAGCCGCTCCCATGGGTATGCCTCCGCTGAGGGCCTTTTCGATGTTTGGCTCACATGCGCATGAACAGAGGCGATACACTTCAGCCTGTCGCCGCCAGCCACTGAGAACACGATACACGCCTTGTTAACAGATAGTTGTGGGCTCCAGCCGCCATCGACCCAGGTGCAAGCATGTTTTGAGCTGAGCTTCCGATCTCAAGGCGGTGCCAGGCTGGGTTCAACCTCTGGTCCACCTTCCTCAACGGAGGAGCTCCTCCTGGATCTTCACAGTCCGTGAGTTGACACATTGTCATGGTATGTCACATCGCCCTGACTTCTCTGCTTGGCAGCACGGCACTGGATCCAGCCATGCTACTTCAAGTAAGCTCGTCTTGCCTTGTATATCTTTCCTGCCTCTCCTCTGAATATCTTGCGACCAGCATCCGATGCAAGAACTGCGATCACCAGCATGTGCGATAGCCTTCCTTCACCTCCCATGTCCGGAACAGCTCTCGGTACCTGTTTTCTCTCAAGTTACTTCACGCAGCTGACAACTCTGCTCGCAGGGATCCTCTTGGATCACTCGACGGCTCCTCCTATCTCTGCTCCGCTGTCCTCCATCTTTCCCAACATGTTCCAAAGGTGTTGGACTGAAGGGCCTCCCCTCCTCGCCCTCTGATCCAGCCTGTCTTGCAGCAACTCTGAACACAACACCAGCGGCCATGGGAATCACTCACAACCCAACAGCTGTGACAGGTGAAACGATTGCGCCCTTCTTCTCCTCCTCCCTCCTTCACTGATGTCCTCGTGAACAAACATCCGCATCCTCCTTGTTTTCCTTGCTTTCCTTGCCTTGCCCCCTCTTCTCAGTTGGCTTCCTCTCGCTTCTCCCCTAACTTTTTGGCTGCAGCCTCGGGTCGTACCTTAAGGACGAGGCTGAGACAAAACCCGAGCAGCCCAAGTCTGAAGTGCCGGAGAAGAAGCCTGCGGGGAAGCGATGATCGGATCTGACCCGCCACACCAGGGGCCCTGCAAGCCTCAGGCTGGTTCGGCGGACCCAATGCGTTGATGCGGCAGCGTCACTGTATTCCCGGTCGCCGGCTTGTATCATCATAGTACAGTACTTTCGAAGCTTTATGGCTTGCTGGCGCCTGATTCAATTCAAGTTCCGAGTCGCCGGGCTTCACAGGCTTCAGAATCGTTCAAGTTAGTACTGAGTACGGTCACGTGACCCTGGCAATGGCATCAGCCCGGCGCTTACGAGGCAATCGCTCGGAGTTCGGCTTCAACCATGATGATTTGCCGGGCACCTCAGTCAGTAGATACCGTAAGTTGTGAGTGAGTAAACCGTTGAACTGTGAGCCGCCTTCAGTCTCACTGGCAGCCTGCCTGAGTCACGGAGTTTTCGGCGGCGGCCGCCGGCCGGGGGCCGGGCCGGGCCCGCGACTCGAGGAAGGGCAGCGATTGGGGCGTCTTTCTTGATTATCTCATACTACAGGAGCCTTTGGGGCAGTATTTTTTTTTCTTTTTATTAATATTCTCTACTTTGGGTTTTAATATCGCTACCATCACGATTTTTCAAAACTATTTTATTTAGGCATGCGTCATGTAAAATGCTCAAAAACAAGGTCAAAATTTTAATTTGGGCCACCCTGACCCTCATTTGCAAGGGGTGTTCAGCGTATACTGAAAGGGCTGTGGGACTCAAAACTTTAAAATACCTGCAAAGTTTTATATGTTTTTAAATGCAGGGTATTTCAGTACATGTTTCTAAGATGAGTTTTCTATTTCGTTTTATTTGTACCATAGAGGAGTGGCTAAGAGGTACTGTTAAGTAAAATGGTACCTCCGGAAATGTACTTCTATAATTGATTTTAATCTTACATGTGTTCCGCGCCTCGTCCGCTGTCGCCATGGCGTCTAACCTGGTAAAGAAGCTCGGCATGCCCTTCGCTCCATGCGACTCCCCTGCTTCCTCCTTTCTCCTCTCCCTCTCATCAACCTCAACACGCTTGCCATCCTCGTCCTCCTCCTCCTCAAGGGGCTTGGTTACTTGTCCCCAGCCACTGAAAGCGAAAGAGTCATGGCCCCCTGCAATCTAAACTCGACGGTGCATGTTCCGGGATTGCGGGTGTTTATGTCTTGAGAATGTTTTGGTCATAACAAGGATGGATATGCTTCACTTATTTATGGGGAATGCTTCTTCTCACCTGCTTGCATCCTGCTCCTTACATGTTTCGCGTTGGTCGAACATCCCGACCAAGATTGTCTGCTTTTTCCTGCTCAGTGATTTTGGTCGTGTTGAATGTTAAGCCATGCATGTTCAAAAAGCTGTCGATGTCTGCTCCTACACGCGCTCCCCTCCTTTCCCCCCGAGCTCATTGTCCGCCCTCATGCCGCTGGAGCATTCTCGTGTACGTCCGGATGAGTTGCCTTATTGCCAGGATATGCCGCTTGACGATGTTGCAAACGCAATGAACAGCTACTCTGAAGATGCTAGAGGATACCAGGTGATTATGACGGCACGCCTGTTGGCCACGATGTCTGATTAAATGTGCAAGTCCTGGGGCGGCGCCGGCTACTCAGCAACGAGGTGGGAGCTCTTTTCAGTGCTTACGGCATTCCTGACCTCTGCTCCTGTAGGGGCCCTGGCCTTGGCTGCCGTGTGTACGTGGGTAACCTCTCCTGGGACGCCCAGTGGCAGGACCTGAAGGATCACATGCGAGGGCCCAACCAGAACCTCGTACGTAGACTTGTTGCATCCGTGGTTTTCCAGTGACCCCTCTGCCAGAATGTTGTCCATGCCGACATCATGTACGAGGCTGGTGGAAGGTCGAAAGGATGTGCCATCGTGGAGTATGCCTCCCCGGAAGATGCGCAGCGTGCCATCGCCGAACTCAACGACACTGAGATGATGGGCCGTCTCATTTTTGTCCGGGAGGACAGGGAGGGCTTCAAGGGAGGTAATGCTGGTGGAGTCTAGGATGGAGCTGGGTATTTATGGTGCATTCTCAGGTTATTCTGCCACGACAACCTTTCCCAGTGGAGGCTACAGTAACTTTGGAGGAGGAGGAGGAGGAGGAGGAGGAGGTATCAATCGCAGACAATTCTGAGCGGTGTTGAGTTGGGACGTGTGAAGGTTACAACGGAGATGGATATAATTCGTTCCGTGGCAAGTCTTCCGGCTTCCGTGGTCGGTCTGCAGGAGGCTACGGTGCCGGAGGTGCCGGCGGTGCCGGAGGTGCTGGTGGCTTTGCCGGAGGTAGCGACCCTTCACGCACATGTGTCCTTCTTACGCATGAAGCAGGCATGGGTACCGGTGGCCGCAGAGTGTATGTGGGCAATCTGTCATGGGAGTGCAAGTGGCAAGACCTGAAGGATCACATGCGGACAGCAGGCAACGTGCTCCATGCCGACGTGATGACAGGTCCCGACGGAAGGTCCAAGGGTTGCGGCCTTGTCGAGTTCTCTTCCCCTGTACGATGTGTTGCTCTTGTTGTCTGAGCGTCTCACAGTGATGGCAGGAGGAGGCGGTGCGTGCCATCCAGGAGTTGAACGAGACGGAGCTCATGGGACGCATGATCTTCGTCCGCGAGGACAGAGAGATGCGATGAGCATGACGAGATCCCAGGGTCGAGACAAGTCGCATGTGACAGGGGCGTATACTGACCTGTCTCGCGTGTGATTTGTTCTCGTTGCCGTCGGTACCGCAAACGTGAGGCATCGCTCTAAGGTGTTCGAGCTGCCTGTGGAGCTGCTGGGATGTGGGAATCTTGTTAGTTGGGTGCTGTACATTTTCAGGTTCTTGCTCATCTTAGTTTTCGAAGGGTTTGTTTGAGTAGAGTTGCGCTTTTGTGGTGAATGGAAGAATGATTTCTAGTTCCCCTTCCCTGCCCACTCCCCCTATTTCTCTCTTCAATACGTCGGATCTCTCTCTAGTCGTCAGCACGTTTGAGTAGCCCCATGACAAATTGTCACTTCGTTGGTTTGTAAGTGCAAAGCGGCCAACATGTCGTTCTGAAACGACATAACCTGTCATGTACCTTATTGTCATCTGGCTCGGCAGCCAGCCATTCATCGTTTGTATCTTCCGAGTCTACGCTCAACCTATCTCCCTGTAGTAACGCACGCTCCTGAAATTTGTCTTGACTAGTCGCAGCCAAGATGCAGAAGGAGGAACAGCGCCTGGATGGAGGAGAAGTTCCAAGAATGGACAAAAGCAGGGCTGAAGAGGGAACACGTCTGCGATTTGCGCCTGCCCGTGCACGAGTGGCATGTCGTTCGGTGGCTAGGATCGATCGGAAGGCCGGAAAGTGATCAAAAAGAGGCTCTACTAATACACAAATCATCGCTTCTAATACACTAGTCATCTCTACTAATAAACTAGTCATCTCTACTAATAAGCTAGTACGGTCATCTCTACTAATAAACTAGTCATCTTTACTTATATCGGACAGAAAGGTTGACCAGGCGGAACACTAACGGGAGGGAAACACCAGGAGGGACGAGCTCACAGGCTACACAAGAGATGGCAGGGCGTTGAAAACTAACTTGCTGCCTACTGCCTCGAGCCATGCACCCTCAACGGTCATCATCAGGTACTAGTATAATGTGACCCCACCTTCCATCGCTAATGACGGTTTATGATACACCCGAACATCATATCCTCTAACACACAAACACTCCTTGCTCCACGCTCACAAGTACTCCAGCAGTGTGGTCAGATCATCACCCACTCCCTCCACCCCCTCACTCAGATCTTGTTGGCAGGATCTAGGCCGCAGTAGGCGTGAGCTTGCTGCGGGTCCAGCTCGAACACTGCAAAGCGCTCGTAAGTCCCTGAGACAGTAACTCTCCCCTTGCTCTCACCATCGATGGGCAGGTTGCCAGTGTCCACGGTCTCGACCTTGTTGTCGGCGGCAGCTTGCATCTCGGCCACTTGCTTCTGAGCATCTTTCGTCTCCTTCCAAGGCAAGTAGCTGACACGTGTCACAGACGCGCTCGTCAACAACAAGACAGAGGACTTACACCCGCTTGTAGATCCACCACGACGAGATCATAACCCACACAACCACTGAGCAGAAGCGAGTCATGGAAGGAGCAAGCAGAAGCGAGTCATAGAAGAACAGGCAGCGGCGAGTGAGAGAAAGAGAAAGTAGAGGCGATTCATAGAAGGAACGAGCAGTCAGTTAGCAGAGCCTCCCACCTCCGATTGTGATGAGGACGATCTTTGTTGTAGTGTTGGTACCCCCAGTACTGTAACCACCTGATGAACTGCTGCTGCCACCTCCCTTGCTGCTGCTGTAGCTGGACTTGCCGCCACTGTAGCTGCTGCTGCCTCCTCGCAACCAAGACATAGTCTGCTCCATCCCAGTCCCCGACATGCCCCCTTCAAGTTCGCGACCTGGCAGGGTTGACAATGGTTTAAAAGGTCAAAACAGGATTTTACTCGACAAATTTGAAAATCTTCTTTGGAATCGTCCGAGGACATTTGAACTACTAATCTTTATCTTACAAATTGAGGTCATGATTTCAAAATTACTAGGCTTGACGAACGGTTTACTTTTAATTTTGTCAACTTTCCTACCAGGCCTCTTGATAGACTTATAACATTTCTCATACAAAAATAAGTTATTTATAACGTTTAAAATATGCCCGGCCATAGTGACGGGCCTTTCAATAGTACAACGGAAGATACTAGTAACCGTAGTACTCATGACTACCGGAGTGACAGTGACGCCGGGGGCCGCTACCGTACGGCCGCCCGGGCCGGTCTCCGGGGGCCGCGGACCCGGCCGCGCGGTCGCCCGACTCACTGAGTCAGCGGCGGCCCGGACACTGTCAACAGTCCGTCGCCGGCGACTGGAAGTTCCGAAGTTCGGACTTGAACTTCGGAAGGCAGGCTCAGTTGCAGGCACAACTTGGGCCAAGTTGTTGCAGACCGACGGTGGTCACCGTTCACGGAAGACGACCGTACTACGGTAACAACAAGCACAGTCTGACATCAGCCGCGGCGGGCGGCAACTGAGTCACTGCGTATTGGACCGGTGCCGGGCCGCTCGGCTGTCCGACACCGTCAGTGCATCCGATGATGCCCTCACTGTCATGCAACCGGTGACCGTTGAACTAGTCCGTCCGAGTCGGTGAGCCTTCAAGACTCCTTGGAAGTGTAACCGTGTTGTACTTTGCAACGCAGTCACGGTACCATCCGATGGTCGGACCGAGACGTTGTAGGCGAGGACCAGGACGGTGAGAAGAAGCTCGTTCAAGTCGGTCACAACCGGCACCGATTGTGAACTGCTCAGTGACCGTGCAAGGGCTGCTGCAGTGTCCTGTCCCATCGATGATCCTGACTATGTTGCAACATGATCGAGAATGACTGCATTCTTCTATCAGAGTGCTATGGTTCTCCAACCCTCACAGCACTACTTCAACTTCCACCTTCCTTCTCCTACCTCCTACTGACAGCTTTTGCCAACAAGGTACCAGACAAGTCCGTAAATGTCTGAGTTGACCCCGCTATCGCTCAAGCTGGCTGCTCCTGCGGGAGTGCTCCTGCTCCCACCGCCCCAACCCTCGCCATTGGTATTGACGGCTGATGATACACATGTACATCGACACACCCGACGCCGTCTGCTCGCATGGTCAGAACATCGGATCCATACCCACTCCCTCCTCTCTCGCACTCTCAGGTCTTGTTAGGAGGGTCTAGGCCGATGTAGGCGTGAGCTTGCTGCGGATTCAGCTCGAATACGTTGGCAGGCACGCTCTGATCCTCCCCGTTGACATCGGGATACTAAACATTCGAGTGAGGGAGATCTGCGCCGTCCAGACAACAGAGCAAGAGTGAGCATACCGCGACAGGGATGCCGTCGTCAGTGACCTGCTGACTCGCACGCCGAGATGGCAAGTAGCTGAAGCATGTCAGGCGAGCAAGTCTTGAACGAGACCAGGAGTGCTCACATCCTCTTGTAGTACATGTAGACGCTACCAACGACAAATATCGTAACTGTAGCAAGTGAGCGAGGCGAGCGAGCGGGTAGAACAGTCTCGTACCAAAAATTACGATGTAGATTATGGTGCCGATGTCACCTCCTATTGATGACCCGCTGGTTCCTCCTGCTCCTGTTCCTCCTGTCTTGCTGCCGCTGGACTTTCCGCCGCCGCCGCCGCCTTTTCTCCAGCCCTCCATCCCAGGCTCCTGGCTGCTCCCCATGACGACTGAGCCTTGCGCCGCTTTTTCGAGATTCACCTAAACTAAATCCTTTTTCTTTGAAATTACATGGTGAATTTTGGCATCCCGCTTTCAAAAAAATGTTAACTTTTACTAGCAGCCTGGCAGGTGCCTACCGTAGGACGGTCGGACGTCAATTGAATGAGTTTCAGTCACTCAGTCCGACCGGCGAACTTGGGCCCGGCCCGGGGACTCGGATGCCATGCCGGGCCGCCGAAGTAACTAAGTGCAGCCGGCCTGGCAGCCTGTTGCGGCCGCGGCCGGACTCCGACGCGGCTCACCGTTGGCGGCCGCGTTCGAGTCGTGACTCGCGGATCCGATGCCCCCGTGGCACGGACTGAGGCAAGTTCCGAATGGCGGCAATGGCAGTGGGGCGCACTGCGCCGGCGGCACTGAGGCCGCGGGCGCACATGAATTCAAGTTGTCTGAGACCGTTCTGTACAGCGGCCAGTTTACAAGGACCGGCGGCCGGGGCCGTTAGCCCGGCGCATCACTACTCATGGCGGGCCGGGCCCCCGTTCACTGACGGCGGCGTCCGGGCCGCGAAAAACCGTTGAACGGGTCAGCGGTGACTCCGTCACGGTCAACTTTGTTCAGCGCCTCGCCAGGTGACCACGGAGTCACTGAGTCAGTCACTTCCAGAGGCTTGCCGCGGCCAGTGCCGGCCCACCGTGACAGCCACGGTAGTAAACGACACACTGAGTGACACTGAATGAAAGAAAGCGACGGTGACAGTCGGCTGATCATCATAGTACAAGTTCCTAGGCCCTGTCACGGCCCGGTGCTCTTGACACATCACCCTGAGGAGCGGGGGAGACCCAGGCTCCTGCCTTGATAGTACCTCGACGTCATAATAGTATACAATTTTGGATTCAGATGTATCCACCTAGTCATATCATTACATGGTTTCATTTGACTTAAGTTTGGTTTCAATTCTGTTCAACGTTCGCACACACACCATAAGACGATCTCACTGAGAAGAGGCTCTTGCTGCCAACGCTTCTCCCTTCTTCTCGTGGTTGTCGAAGTGGATGAAACTTAGCAATGGAGGGAAGAGAGAAGATCAGAGATCAGCAACGAGAAGGCAAGAAGGAAGAACCAAGTGTGACTCAGGGGAAGAGTGAATCAGCTCTATTCCATGCAATCTTGGGGTGAGCATGAAAAATTTACTCTTCCTCGGCAAAAAAGTTCTACTCTCAACACCCACTCTTCGTCCTCCAACCCTACACAATATGCTGACAACAGCAAAGCATGCAGGCTCGACCAACCTTGAGGGCCCTACTTGTATTGGCTCCTATTTCCTCCCTCGCACAAGAGGCAAGTTGGCAGCAAAGGCTCCGATGGCAGGAGGAAGCGCAAGGAAGAGAGACGCTGCTATCCCCGACAACCCGGCCATGCTGAACACCAGGCTTCAAGGGTTGCTCATCACTCAAAGGTATCAGGTGCGATGATGTCATACTAGCGGTGCTAGACCAGCGTAAGGGAGAGGAGACCCCTTTGACTGAAGGGGCTGATCCTTATACAGGCCGAGGAAGGGAATAGGGGTAGTGCTGCACGAGCAAGCGGTACTAAAGAGGAGCGGGGCAGATGTGAACGAGGGTGAGGTTGCCTGCTTGAGCGTAGCAAGGCTGTCATACAAGACTCAACGTAAGTGCTGGTCGTTGATAATACCTCGCGCATCAAGCTCCTCGTCCCCGTCCCTTTGCTGCTTCCGCTTCCCTGTAGCCTCGTGTGCCCTTGACGTCCTCGCCGCCATCACGTTGCTCAGCACGTCCCTGCAGCATCCCGGCCGCCTCAGCTGTCCGTCGGGGGTGGCAGCAGCAGCAGCAGCAGCAGGGGAGGGGAGGGAGAGGGAGAGGGAGGAAGAGCTTCGGGAGGCTTGGCGGGAGGTCCAGGGAGAGACTTGGAGGATCTTGATGGTAGAGCGAGGGGGAGGGAAAGGGAGGGGGAGGGGAGCTGCAGACATGAGGCAGGGGGCTGAGGGGAGGAGGGTGAAGGGTGTAGCGAGAAGGAGGGAAGGGAGGAGGATTGAAATCACGTGAAGGGGGTTCAGGTCTTTATGTGTTATCAATCTCGCTGTCTATCTCCGTAAAGGTCCCTGCGACTAGCTGGTACTACCCCCACCCTACTCTGAGACTATCCTGACACCCCTACCTGACTTTTTTTTAAATTCCCCGACGTCAAAAGAGCTCGTTTTGTATCTCTGCCGTCACGCTGACGTGCTTGCACTTGGATTGTTCGGATCTTGAAGGTCCCACCCTTCTCGTCTCGCACTAGAGGCTCACTTAGGCTTCATCCCACCTCGAGCTATGCTCTCCATTAGTCGGATCTGTCGCGTGACTCCCTCGTGATTCTCTTCATCCCGCATATCAGGCATCCTTTATGTCCCTACTCCCCCTCACTCCTCTCCGCACGACGATCATGGGAGGCGGAGGCAGCTCGTCCTTGGACGCGGAGAGGAGGAGCATGAAGCGGGTCGTCGAGGAGGGGAGGAGTTAAAGGAGACGAGGACGGGAGGAGACGAGGCGTTTGAATGTGTTCCTGTCGCCTTTCTCATCACTTGTGTCACAACCACAAGCTCCATGAGGCCCTGCTTCTAACCAGAAGGGCAAGAGGAGGGAGAGCGAGTGAGGGCTGGCTGACCCGGTCAAACCAGTGCAGTGATGTGTACTTTACTAGCGATGCTAGTGCAGTGATGTGTACTTTACTAGCGATGCTAGTGCAGTGATGTGTACTTTACTAGCGATGCTAGTGCAGTGATGTGTACTTTACTAGCGGTGCTGGACTCACAAGCTTCTGCTCCTCTTCTTACCAGGAGTGATAGAGACTTCCACTGCTGTCCCTTACCTTGACAAGTTTGCGGTGTGACCTGCTAGGGCCCTCGCATATCAGTCTTGTCCTCAAGCGCTCTCCTGCCTTGACAGCACCTCCCACCCACACTGCTATCGCACATCAACCTCCTCGTGTCTTTCCGCGACCTCGTCCCCGTCCCCCTCCTGCTTCCGCTTCCCTGTAGCCTCTTGTGTCCTTTCGGCGGCGGCGGCAGCAGGGAGGCGGTGGGAGAGGGAAAGGGAGGAGGGGCTTCGGGAGGCTTTGCGGGAGGTCCAGGGAGAGACTTGGAGGATCTTGATGGTAGAGCGAGGAGGAGGGAAAGGGAGGGGGAGTGGCGGGGGGGGGGAGAAGGCGCTGCAAACATGAGGCAGGGCGATGGAGGAAGAGGGAGCAGGTACCAGAGCACGGAGCAGGGAGCAGAGCACGGAGCAAGGAGCAGGGAGGAACCACGGGAGAAGGATGGAGGTCCCGTATCGGGGGAGTGGGGCAGGGGGAATGGGGCTGGGGGAATGGGGCTGGGGTGTGCTAGAGCAGGGGAGTATCTCCCCGATATCTTTTGCTGTTCGACTGGACTGCATGACTGATAAGCCGGCCAGTCATTCATTTTTACTTCACGGAGATTGTATCGGGGGAGCAAGCATGAGCTTGCATAAGTCGTCAGTTGCACCCTGCAGGACAGTCCCTGACCCTTCTCATTCTCAATTAGAGGCACACTTAGACTTTATCTCACCATGGGCCCTGCCCTCCATGCCCAAAATCAGTTCTGTAACAACACACCTCTTACGATCTGCAGAAGTGCAACTCCTCCACTACTTGTAAACTGACATCCTTTCGTCCCCTACATCATCCTTCCTCCATCCCTCCTTTGGCTACACCCTTCACCCTCCTCCCCTCAGCCCCCTGCCTCATGTCTGCAGCTCCCCTCCCCCTCCCTCCTCCCCCCCCTCGCTCTACCATCAAGATCCTCCAAGTCTCTCCCTGGACCTCTCGCAAAGCCTCCCGAAGCTCTTCCTCCCTCTTCCTCCCCCGCCCCCTCCCTCCCCCTCCTCCTCCCGGGAGTCCTCCTCCTGCCTGCAGGGACGTGCTGAGCAACGTGCTGGTGGCGAGGAGGTCGAGGGCACAAGAGGCTACAGGGAAGCGGAGGCAGCAGGGGGACGATGACGAGGGCGCGGAGAAGACGCGGAGGAGGGGAGGACACGAGGTGCTTGATGTACGATAGGTGGAGGTTATCAATTACCACAAGTTAAATTGCTAGAAGATGCAAGGGGATCGCAACATCTCACAGAGTGAAAGACGAACACATCGGCTCTGCTCGTTGGAGTGAAACTCACATGAAGTAGGAAGACTATCAGCTCATCTTCCTGAATCTATGAGATGAGCTTCAGATATTCATTGCCACCGGTCCCTTGCTCAGGCATGGACAGTCTGCAGAGGATTTTGTCGTCGTTGCTACTTCGATCCAGCAAAGCACAGCCATACGCATTAGTAGTGGAGATAAAATATTGCTCTGACAACGAGCCTAGCGCAAAGAAGTTCGTCCACAAAATGAACGGATTGCAAGATCCCTTGCTCTCGTATCAAGATCATATCAGATCAGATCAGATCATGTCAAGTAGACTTACTCACTTCCTCTTATTGTCTTCCTCTCTCCCTCCCTCACTCGCGCTCGCTATCCATCTCGTCTGCCTGCCCTCCCCTCCCCTACCGTACCCTCCCCTCCCCTCTCCTCCCCTCTCCTCCCCTCTCCTCCCCTCTCCTCCCCTCTCCTCCCCTCTCCTCCCCTCTCCTCTCCTGCCCTCTCCTGCCCTGCCTTGCCCTGCTGCTTCTCCTTCTCTCATGGATTTTCTCCCTTCATCGTCTTCTGCTCTTCTCTTCCATCAGCTTCGCTCTCCATCGCTTGCTCGCTCGCTGCTTTCCTTCATTTCGGAACCAGCAGGGGTGGTTGCTTCTTATGGATAGGGTCAGATATCAAAAGGGTAGTTTGTAAGGGGTACTTTTGTAGTGAATTACATGGTATCACCGTGGGTACTCAAAACATTTTAAAGAATTACACGGGTAGGGTATACAGAATCAAAGTAGGGTGGGTAACCTCTAGGGATCAGTGGGGGCAGACGCAATGCAAGTGCTGAAGGGAGAGGAGAAGGGGGAGGGGAGGGGGGGGAGGACGAGGAGGAGATGAAGAGAAAGATAACATGATGATAACAGCATGATTAAGATGATCCAATCAGAAGGTAGAGGTGGTCTGATGGATCCATCAAGGATCAAGGATGAGGGAGCAGGAGCAGGAGCAGGAGCAGGAGCAGGAGCAGGAGCAGGAGCAGGAGCAGGAGCAGGAGCAGGAGCAGGAGCAGGAGCAGGAGCAGGAGCAGGAGCAGGTGCAGGAGCAGGTGCAGGAGCAGGAGCAGGTGCAGGTGCAGGAGCAGGTGCAGGAGCAGGTGCAGGAGCAGGTGCAGGAGCAGGAGCAGGTGAACCCGCTGGATGGAACTTGGACACAGCTAGGGGGCTCGCTGCAAGAAATGAATATCAGTGTAGATTTAGTTTGATATCAGTGTAGATTTAGTTTGATATGATCTTGAGGCTTAAAGTGGCCACCAGATGAAAGATTTACTTGCAAGCCGAAGGAGAGTAGTGCATGGTTTGCCTTGCTAGAGTTGTTATTTGCTCTCAGTCACTTATGTTCATCGCAGCACAAAGGCGCTGAGTCTTGTCGAGTGAGCTGGATATCAACTTGTTTTCCACCTACCATGAAGGGCAGAAGATGAATTGCGCTTGACTGTTTCTTCGCCTGTCCCTTTCTTGCTCCAAGAATGCCAGCGAACGAGCTCATGCGTCTCCTCTGTTTGTGCATCATTGCGCAGGGTTGCTCCACCATGGGGAGGCGATGCTGCACCGTCAGGAGTCAGGGGGGGCAAAGGGGCATGGGAACTTTCCTCCGGCATGGAGCGGGGAAGAAAGTGAAGGGAATACTGGCCTTGCGAGGAGGGAAGGAGTACTCGGACTTCAGTGAATCGTTCCAGAGCAGCCTGGAGGAGAGGATCGACCCACACGAGCTCGACCAGCTCCTCACGGACCACCTGCTGTTCATCGATGAGGACAAGGCAGAAACTGTAGCAATGAGGGAGGGAGTGCAGAAGGAGAAGAACAAGGAGGAGGAGATACCGGTGCTGCCCTCTGATGAGTTCAAGGCAGGAAAGATGGAGGAAGAGGGAGGGGTCTTGCGTCCTCTGACAGAACGAGGGCTCCTCACCATCGAGCAGCATGAAGACGACGGCATGTGGCACTTGCACTGGACCTCCCGCGTACCGAATCGAGCCTCCGTCGGTAAGCTAGACATCCTCCTCCTCTCCGGCGACGGCTGGATCGAGAGGCTGATGGACTGGAAGGGAGAGCCTGTGACTGGAGCGAGGATCTACCGAGTCGGGCTGAACTCAACCGGGAGGGTGTACTACTTCTGGATGCAGGAAGCGTCGATCGAGGTGGACGACGTGCTGTTCAACCGTGTCGATCATATTCTCAACCCTCCCACCTACAACGAGAGCTTGGAGGGATTCGGATGGCGTTGGACCTCTCATCTCAACATCAGCTTGTCTCAGGGGCTGCACAAGGCGCTTGTTGGCGTGCGGGATGCAAATTTAGAGCTCCCCAACGTCCCAGCAGCGCATGACGAGCAGTGGAGGAGGGTTTCAGAAGTTCAGTCGCACAAGTACCGCCAACACTGGATCGTCTATAACCGAATGCATCCTCCTCAACAGGCCCAGGACAAGGTGGCGACTCCCCGGCTGATCCCCATGGGAGGCAAGCACCCCCGCTTCTGGGAGAAGGACGGGGCAACCAGGATCACGCACTGGGACCCGATCTCTATCACCTGCCCGACCCCAGGAGCAGAGATCTACTACACCTTCTGGCCCAGCATAGACTACTACTGGAATGTAGAGGATGCGGACGAGACCCCTTGCGAGCTGTCGTGGGAGAAGTACCAGGGGCCGTTCTCGCTACCGTTGCCTTACTTCTTCGAGGAGAAAGGATATGAGGACTGGAGGGTCAAGGCGGTGGCTGTGAAAGAGGGGATGACTCGCAGCGATGTCGTAGCAGGGGAGTTTGCTGTGGTGACACATAAGGAGGACCTGCCCAAGGTCAGGTATGACGTGCACATGCGGTTACGACACGTGCTGGAGAACTCTTCGCACCCGCTCTTCATCGAGTACGACATGAGGATTCGGAGAGCGTGCTATGCGAGAAAGAAGCACTGGGAGGCACAGTTGGAGAAGCATGCGAGCGGCGAGATCAACGAGTTTACGGAGCAGGTGAAGGGAGGAGAAGGGAGGAGAAGGGATGAAGTGGTTGGTAGCTAGAAATGAAGGAGAGAATGAGAGGAGGAGGAGAGAGAAGAAAACAAGAAGGCGGATGAAAGACATGATGCTTGCTGTGTCGTGACAGCAGGAGAAGCAAAAGCACAGGCAGAAGCAGGAGTAGGAAGAGAGCGAGGAGGGGAGATGAATGGGGTCGAAATCCTGTGACAGTCTTCGATTGCTCAGTTTCTACCCCTGGAAGGATTCCTGCACTTCAATCGCCGTGGAAAACTTTCACATCAGACCAAGGAAAACGATCCTGCGTTGCCTCCGGTGAAACTTCCCTCCTCCCCTCCTCCCCCTCTCAACCAACCTCCAGCTTCCCTCCTTCCTTATATCTCCTTCCCTTAGCTCACAAACCTTTCTCTCCCCCTTCCCTCCACGTACTCCTCCCTCTGTCCCTCGATCCTCCTTCTTCCGCCTTTCCCTCTCACTCGTTTTGTTCAATCTCCATCTCCCCTGTTTCCGCCTCCTTGTCTGTCTCCTCCGCTTCCTTCTCCTCCCTCTTCCGCCTGCTCCTCCTGCTCAACCCAACGCAGGGTGCTGTCTGCTTCGATGATATCACTGGGGTGCCTCTGAACAATCAAGGATTTCCTGTTGGCCCTCCCACAGGCAGGCGGAGGAAGGCAAAGGCAAGAGAAGTAGCCAAACCAGGGGGAGGAGGAGGAGGAGGAGGAGGAGGAGGAGGAGGAGGAGGAGGAGGAGGAGGAGGAGGAGGAGGAGGAGAATCGAAATCGTCAGAGAGAGCAATGGGGGCAGGGGCTGAGCAAGAACTTGAAGAATCTACTTTGACAAACATGCAACAGGTTGACTTGACTGTTTGCATTAGGCTAAGTCAGTAACTTGTTGCAGGTTATAAAAGACAAGGTTGTGACATGATGTTTCGTACATTCTTTGTTTTTTCCTGTCATTTCTTTTTTCTCGGAACTTCTCTTTTTCTTTTCATCTCCTCTTTTTTGTTTGCATTTGTTCCTGTTTGTAGTGGTTGTTCTCTCAATGATTGAATCCTGTTTTCACTGCTCAATCTTTTGCTCTGTGTGCAGGAAAGCAAGATCATGTCGGAAATGAAGAGAGATGTCTCGTCGATGATGACAGGTTTTCCAGCCTTTCCTGCTCTCACGTCCTGTCGCGATGACACATGGATTGTAGATGATAATGAGAGACAAACTGCTTCTGTTGAGGTGAGCAAGAAATGTACAAGACTGCATTGAAATGATAGATTGTAACATCGTCGAAGGATAGAAAGGATGATGGAGAAGGAGAGTGGGAGGGAAGAGGAGGGAGGAGCAGGCAGCAGGAAGGAAGAGAAGGAGAGGAAGAGAAGGAATTTGGGGGACGGGGGGAATGAGTAGGAGGACGAGAAGAGGACGAGGAGGAAGGAGTTTGGAGGACAAAGACAAGGAGGAAGCAGGGGAAGGAGGAGGGAGAGAAAGAAGGTGCAGGGAGCTGTGAGGAGGAGAGGTAGTGAAGCGGATCAGGATGGAGTTGATGACGGTAATGGCAGGATATGCACGATGAAGGACTACAATCTGCCCTTGGTAACTTCATTAGCTCGAGGACTTTGTTGCTGAACCTTGTGTTCTTCTCGCCTCCCCTTGCCTCCTCTCCTCTCCTCTCCTCTCCTCTCCTCTCCTCTCCTCTCCTCTCCTCTCCTCTCCTCTCCTCTCCCGTCCCGTCCCGTCCCGTCCCCTCCTCTCCTCTCCTCTCCTCTCCTCTCCTCTCCTCTCCTCTCCTCTCCTCTCCTCTCCTCTCCTCTCCTCTCCTCTCCTCTCCTCTCCTCTCCTCTCCTCTCCTCTCCTCTCCTCTCCTCTCCTCTCCTCTCCTCTCCTCTCCTCTCCTCTCCTCCTTGTCCTCCCCCAACTGCTCCTACCATCTGTTTCTCCGTCTCCATCGCTACCATAGCCCTGCTCCGCTCTCTCCCTCCCCCTGCCCCTTCCTTCTATCCCCTCCCTCGCGTCCTCCTTCTCCTTCCCACTCACCTTGCTGACTTCACATAGGACGACGACGATCCTCAGCTCCCTCCTCCTCCCCCCTTCGGCTCCATCGGTT